GCATAGATAGATATAAAAAAAACACAGAAAAACTGCTAACAAAAAAAGCAACTCTCCAGAATGAATGTGAACTTTGCAAAACATAAAATCACCTTTAAATTGATCATCCCTTAGACAAACATTGGTACTGTATATGCACTACAGTGTTCACCTATATGTTAGCTTTCAGAATATATTTAGCAAAATCCCAGCAAGTGAGAGCTGAACACTTGTCCCACCATAGAGGGCAGTAACTTTCAAATTATTTATTGACTCAAAGTAATAACAAATCAATTGACCTGAATTCAAATTATTTCAAATGACTTTTGACGTAAAGAGTGGCTGGAATTGATTAGTGGTCTTGTTTTAAAACTGTCTATTCACTGTTTGCAGTTATACATTGCCATACTTACCTGCATGGTATGTGTTATTTTCAAAGAATGTACAATATAGAATGAAACAGTGACTGAGGACTATGTTCTTCAGAAAGTTAGGGGTTCCTTATTAAGTGTGCTAAAGAAAGCTAGGCAGTAGCAAGTTGACGACAAGTTGTGAGTACATAAGGATGAAGATTCCCTAACTTGCTGGTAGAAATTTTTTTTTCTCAAGTCACATGTGAAGCTTGCTAAGACCTATGCATTAGTTATCAACTCTTCCTACTGATATTTGGATTTTTATTTTTATCAATACCTTAATGTTTGTATTTTTTTTGCATTCAATTAGGTGAGAAGGCATCATTTATTCTCTTCTGCTCACATGTCTATTTCAGTATCAGAGTGCAACACATGTTGAAATGTCTAACTATTCAACCCTTTCACTGCCTTGTATTGCTGCAGTTTTTTGGTATTCTCTAATTAAATAATACCTGCTTGTAGGTTCTTAGTCTTAAATTTGTATTGTCAGACAAAGGTCTTTCAATTTTGAGTAATTTGACCAAAAATTGTATTTCAAAGTTATGGCATTCTTGAGTTTTCTAGGCGTGTACATTCATTTTCTTGAATCAACTGTTTATATGGAGACTCAGTTATTGTCACATTAACTATACATCAGATATTTTATGGTGCATACAGTCAATTTAGCTATGCCATTGTGCACATTTTGTTTCATTATCAATCAAAGATGGCCGATTGGCAGACATTTTAGTTGGTGTAAGACATCACACTAGTTACACTTGACACATTGCAGCACAGTGAGAATAACCTGTTGAATTCACAGTTCAGTAAAGCTCACTGTTGCCTTTTTAGTTTAATATCGTCATCTTCAGTGTTTGCAATGGTAACAATGTTTGCTACATTCATTGTTAGTTTTGATGAAACCGATGTATATGGCTGTGAAGGGGTTTAACTAGAATTATATGTAGTTTATTAATAGCATGGTTTTGCTGCTATGTGATATAGGAATCTGTACACTAAGGTTACACATTTGTGTGGTTACAATTGTAGTCATTGTTAGTTCTACTGTAATTAGGTATGTTCCCTATTTTGACACAAATTTGCTATAAATTCTAACAATATATTCTATAGACATGCTAACCTGTTTAAACTACTACCATTAATTCAATAGGAAAAGCATGACATTCTGTAGTTTCTTCTTTTCATGAACCTCCTCAAATTGTTTATTGTATATTCTTGTAGGCATTAAATTTAATTACTGTTCTGAAAACTAGTTTCTTGTTACAGTTAAGCTGTTATTTTTATATAAAGAAAGAACCTTTTATTCAGATTTGTCTACTTTTAACAAATTAATGTATGACCTTTTTTTTATTTTTTGTATCATCTAACAGAAATTTGATAAAAAAAAACATGTATATTGAAGATGACTTTTTTCAATTTAACAGATGATGAAGAAAATGTGAAGATGAAAGAAAAGAATACTGGTATGAGAAACAGAGATGATTCTTCTGAATCAGAGTCAGATGATGAAAGCCGACAATTGACCGTTAAAAGTGACACTGATGTGATGAGTGAAATCAAGTCGGATAGTGAGAGTGAAAAAGAACCTGAACATGAAAACAAGAAAGCAGCTGTTGAGAGTGACAGTGACATCCACAGTGAAATCAAGACAGATGATGAAAATAAATCAGAAAATGGGAAATTGGTATTAGGAGGTAATGATGATGTCCAAAGTGAGATAAAAACTGATGATGAGAAGGAAGAAGTAGCTTCTGAACACAACAAATTAAATTCTGATCATGATAGTGATGTTCAAAGTGAAATTAAAACTGATGATGAAAGAGAAAAGGATAAAGAAATTGACAACGTGAAAGATGTTAGTGACAGTGAAAGTGCAAAAACTGTCCATTCTTCAACTTCATCTTCAACTTCATCATCATCACTATCTTCATTGTCATCTACTAAATCATCTTCTAGTGATGAGAGCCATAGCAACAAAAAAACAGAGAATTCAGCTAATGAGGACAGTGTGGATCTTAATAGTGGCATCATGACATCTGTTGAAGAAAATTCACAAGTTGAAGAACCATCAGGGGTTGAAGAACCATCTCAGGTTGAAGAACCATCCCGAGTTGAAGAACCATTCCAAGATGAAGAACCATCCCAAGATGAAGAACCATCCCAAGATGAAGAACGATCAGGGGTTGAAGAACCATCAAGGGTTGAAGAACCATCCCAAGATGAAGAACCATCAGGGGTTGACGAACCAACAAGGGTTGAAGAACCATCAAAGGTTGAAGAACCATCAGGGGTTGAAGAACCATCTCAGGTTGAAGGACCATCCCGAGTTGAAGAACCATCCCAGGTTGAAGAACCATCCCAAGATGAAGAACCATCCCAAGATGAAGAACCATCCCAAGATGAAGAACCATCCCAAGATGAAGAACGATCAAGGGTTGAAGAACCATCAGGGGTTGAAGAACCAACCCGGGTTGAAGAACCATCCCAAGTTCAAACACCTTTCCAAATTGAAGAACCTAGGCTGAATGAGGAGAAAGTGAGTATTGTGAGTGGAAGTCCTGAAGATCAAGTCAAGGACAAGGTCATATCAGACAAAGGTTATGCTAAACCTGACTATAGTAGTAGTGATGATGTAAGCAGCAAAATAGATACTGACAATTTGGATGTAGGTCATAAACCTGAACTTGATGTGATTGACAAGTCAGATGACCAGGATGATGGACCTGTTTTAGTGGCCAGTGTAGGAGATCATGGCACAAGTGATGAAAACATTGCACATGAACCTAGCGTTGATAAACCCAGTGAATCAAATGATGCACCAGTGGCAGGCAGTGAACAAGACCCAAGTGGCAATGAACATTCTAATATCATCAGTGGATCTGATGGCGAGAATCATCAGGCCAGCGGTGAAGAGGAAAAAATACAAAACTTATCAGATAACCAACTGGATGATGCAAGTGACAAGGAACATAGTAGGAAGGATAGTGAGCCAAAAGAAAAACGAGATATGGCATCAGATGAAGAAATACAGGACAATAATGTAAAGCCAACAACTAGTAAGTATCTTTTAGTCTGGATCAACACAGTATGGGTTGGTCCATTAAGTTGTTATTATAATTTGGGGTAACAGCTAGTGTAGAACTGTTAAAGTAAACTAACTCTACCTGCCTAAGAGTAAAAATGCTTTTCTTCTTGTTGCTTCGTCTGTAATGATGAAGGCTAGTTTTGTTGCCTTGTTTGCAATGGTGTTATCAATTTCTTGTGTCCCAGATAATTTCATTCACCAATATTTGTTATTTTTATGCCGAATTTATATCAGAGCGATGACGTTTACCTTGCATATCACCACGTATAGTGTGGAATATCAGTTTCACACTAAGTGTCACTACTGTGAGTGATATGCACTTGTGATAAGTACAATACTGCACATGTTGGTTAACTATTGTAAATAGATTTCAACTTTCATTAAATTGGACCCTCTGTTTGACAGATGATGAAGTGAAAGCAGACACTGATGATGAGAGAGAGAGTACTATAGAGGAGGAGAGATATTTACAAGAGAAACTTGTGCAGCTGGGAAACAAACAGTATGAAGAACAAGAGGTGAGAATATTTCAATACTATGATGTATGCAGACAATTTGCCAATACCTCCAAGCTCACTTGTAAAGAACTATGTTGTGTAATTACAGTCAAACCTGTGTTACTGACCTCTATATAATGACCACCTGTTTATAGTGACCACTTTTAGGCAGTCCAAAAGCATAATGTATGAGCAACCTGTCTTATGTGACCACCTCTATATAAAGACCACCTGTCTATAGTGACCACTTTTAGGCAGTCCAAAAGCATAATGTATGAGCAACCTGTCTTATGTGACCACCTCTATATAAAGACCACCTGTCTATAGTGACCACTTTTAGGCAGTACCAAAGCATAATGTATGAGCAACCTGTCTTATATGACCACCTCTATATAAAGACCACCTGTCTATAGTGACCACTTTTAGGCAGTACCAAAGCATAATGTATGAGCAACCTGTCTTATGTGACCACCTCTATATAAAGACCACCTGTCTATAGTGACCACTTTTAGGCAGTCCAAAAGCATAATGTATGAGCAACCTGTCTTATGTGACCACCTCTATATAAAGACCACCTGTCTATAGTGACCACTCTTTCAGCAATATTTTTTTTGCAATTTTGCAGATAAATTTAGACTAGATGCATTTAAAAATCTGTGATTAATAAATTAGTGAATCAGTCTGGAAGGCTGTGGGTGGGGCTGTGGGTAGGGCTGTGGGTGGGGCTTTACGTACAGGTTAGTCTGTGCATGCAAGTTCCCAAGGTAATGTACTGAAGTCACATGGACAGCCAATCAGTGGTGACACTGATTGAATGCATTTTCAGTGAATATTAATTGCAGCTAAAATAAAGTATTTTAGAGCATAGGAAGCTATACAGCTTAAAATACTGCCCTCAGTGTCTGTACCTGTGCTGTCTTGATAACAGAGTATGTAGTATGTATGTATAGTAATAGATTGATATGTGTTTCAGCTGAATGGGATTCTGAAGTCACTGGCTAAGAATAAAATTCTGGAGACGTTGGAATGGACTCACAGTGTAATGAACAAAGACATACTTACTAGATTACAAGAAATACTTCAACAGTCTGAAATCAAGGTAAATGAGATACTGTTTCAGGATTAATTATTCGCTGGGTTTTATTTTTGCTTATTTTGCTGGCGGCTAAACGTGTGAAATTGAAACTTGGTTTAATATTACAATTTAATATTAAATGTATTGTTTTTTTTCATAATTCAGTTAATATGTCTGTAACATTAAATCTGCTGAAAATAAATCCACTGAATAGTTTCCTTTCTATAGTACACTGCCTAATTTATAGGATGTGAGCAATACAGTATTTGCTCTATTAGAAGTGCATGTAAACCAACAATTACATTTATTTTATAATGGATTATTAAAATATGATTTATTATAACCATATAATCATTTATGTAAATGTATGCGTTACTAATATAGCAAATACAGTATTGTATGTCATTCACATAATTCCTGTTATCATCTACAATTGTAAGTAGCATGGAATGTTGTCATATTATTTTGTAGTGCATGTTTCCTGTCCGCAAAACTTACAAATAACAATGCAAAATACTAGTATTACAAAAATGAATAAAAAAGAATAAAAATTGTTATTGGTACTTCTTAAAAACAAAAATCCTGAAACTGCTTACTGTAGCCATCCACATTAAAGGCAGCCATAGTGATTTCAACCCTACAATATATCCCACAATGCATTGCATATATAGTGTTAACTTCATGGAGCACATGTTCACAAAGTGAATTGGTTTCTTATACATGTACGGTAAGTATGTCAAGTAAAAATAAACATATTTTTTTCTTACAGAATCTAGACTTTAGTTACTGTAAGTTATCCGTTGAGAGTATTGATGGCTTACTTCCTGTCATTAAAGACAACTCACTGCACAATTTAAGGTATGCAGTTATGTTATTAATTTTATAGAGTTTAGTTTTGCAGGCTCTATGTTGGTTATTTGGGTTTTATTTTATGAATGATGACTTTGGCTCTCAAAAGGTTAAGCTGCCATATTGTATTTGAATGGAGTGTTTAATGTAAGCTTAACAATCAGGAGAACAATAATAAAACAAGGAATATGTAAATATGATAAGTACTGTCGCTTTCAGTAGTTACTAATTTTTGTTTTTCAGCCTGAAAGGAAATCCTTTAATGGACCATGGTATACGATGTATTGTAGACATGATGCTAGAACACAATATCCAATTGAAGGAGCTGGACATCAGTAATTGTGATATCCACGCAGACGGTGCAAAGTATATTGCTAAATTGCTCTCTGCTAAAACAATCAAGTTGAAAACACTGAAGATAAATGGTAATGATTTTACCTGTGATGGTTGGGAAAGTCTTGGAGAAGCGTTAACTGAGAACCACTCACTAATGAAGCTAGAAATGGAACATAATAAACTTGGCAACAAGGGATGTGAAGTGATCATCGATGCATTAATCGATAATGAAACTCTGAAAGAGTTAAATCTGAGAGGAAATGATATCGGAAACGAGGGTGGAGAGAAATTGGTAGAATTGGTGAAAGAGAATGACGTGATTGAAGAGATATTAGTAGACATCGGTAATGATATCAATAAGAAACTACTCACTGAAATGAAAGAAATTTTACAAACTGGCACTTATGTTGATTTGTAAAAATAACTGCTTTTTGCAATAAACCGTCCAATAATCATAGATATTATATACAAATCATTGTGCAATCTTAGATTAGATTTCTTCTATGCATTTATTTACACATTTCTGATATTGGTCCACCTGTCCTCGGTAACGTTTTTGACAAGATGACTGTATTTGGTGTATGCCTATCCTTTTATCTTAGTTTTAAACATATTATAATTTGAAGAGAACTATGTCCAAACACAGGGATGCTATCAAAACCTACATTATCGTACACCATGTTCATTCTATTAGTAATGCTGCATGCACCTTACGTAAGTCATATTTTAATAATCTAGTATACAATACTGTATTTGCTTCATTAGTAGCGCATACAGTTATACCAGCTTATGAGCTTATGTAAATTACAGGTGTTTCTATGATCAAAATAAGTCGTATTTAAATGATTGAACATACAATAAATGCAATTTTAGGTTTATATGCGTTATTATTAGACATGTGTTTCTGTAAAGCAAATACGATATTTAGTAATTGAACTAGTTAAGTTTGTAAATTCAGTACTTGTTTCATCCGTAATCTTTTTGTGAATTTGTAGGTTGGTCAACTCTTTCTTGGATTGCCATAACAATTCATACCTCCCTATAAAAATACATCTAAGACATGTTTTGTTTTGTTTTCTTTTATTTCTGTGACACCGAGCAAATGATCAAAGCTTGTCAAGTCAGATCACCTCAAATTATATAGTCAGACTTAACAATGCTGGTTTCGGAGTTAACGGGTCTATCAAACTGTTGATTTTATAGGTTTTTAAATGTTCCAGTTGAATGAATTTGTTGACATGTGCTTTTTGTCCTTGATAGTGGCCACATTAACTTTTCAGACATTGTGCCTTTTTTGCCACATTTGCCACATTATGTGCTATATCTCTCTATAAAATTAAGATCAATTAGGTCTAACCAGGTGTACTTGGTTTATTAGATTGAGATATTATTCTCAACTCTTTTACAATATTTGTATTATAGACCTACTTTTTTTTAGCTTCGTTGTCGACTTTGTCGAGCAAAGCTTATCATATGAGTGATTGTCCGTCGGCGTCCGTCGTCGTCCGTGTCAATGTTTTACTTTTTCGACTTCTTCTTGAAAACTACAAGCCTGAATGTTTTGATACTTGGTGTATATGCACCTTGGGTAGACCTCTCTTAGGTTTGTTCATTTCATGTTGATATCTTCCATTCTCTAATTTTGGTGAATATTTTTGTCATTTTTGGTAAAAAGTTATATTTTCGATTTCTTGTTAAAAACCGCAAATGCAATTGTTTTGATATTACATATATAGGTACTACATGTGGACCTCTCTCAGATTTGTTTATTTTGTAATGGTATCTTTAATTCTCTAATTTTGGTGAATATTTTTGTCATTTTTGGTAAAAAGTGATATTTTCGACTTCTTGTTAAAAACCGCAAGTTCAATTGCTTTGATACTACATATATAGGTACTACATTTGGACCTCTCTCAGATTTGTTCATTTTGTGATGATGTCTTCAATTCTCTAATTTTGGTGAATATTTTTGTCATTTTTGGTAAAAAGTTGATATTTTCGACTTCTTGTTAAAAACCAAAAGTTCAATTGCTTTGATATTACATATATAGATACTACATGTGGACCTCTCTCAGATTTGTTCATTTTGTGATGATATCTTCAATTCTCTAATTTTGGTAAATATTTTTGTAATATTTGGTAAAAAGTGATATTTTCGACTTCTTGTTAAAAACCAATAGTTCAATTGCTTTGATATTACATATATAGGTACTACATGTAGACCTTTCTCAGATTTGTTCATTTTGTGATGATATCTTCAATTCTCTAATTTTGGTGAATATTTTTGGTAAAAAGTGATATTTTCGACTTCTTGTTAAAAACCAAAAGTTCAATTGCTTTGATATTACATATATAGATACTACATGTAGACCCTTCTCAAATTTGTTCATTTCGTGATGATATCTTCAATTCTCTAATTTTGATGAATATTTTTGTCATTTTTGGTAGAAAGTGATATTTTCGACTTCTTGTTGAAAATCGCAAGTCTGATTGTTTTGATACTATACATATTGCTCATTTTCTAATGATATCTTCTGTTCTTTAATTGAAATGTGCATTGCTAACAGCGGAGCTATCTCAGCCGACAGGCTGCTTGTTTAAATTTGTAAGCTAGCCAATCCCATCGATGTATTGACATCATTGGTTATTAGGAACACAAATTAGCATTTCTATCTGCTTTGCTTTTATTTCTTCTTCTGATGCTTTGAACTAAAGCAGTATAAAAGTTTTTAAAAAAATCTTGATCAGAAGTTGTCAACTTTGTACAAATCTATTTTGTAGAGAATTTTAATTATAAAAAGTGTTGAATTAGAATTTCATCTGCCAGACTCTGTTATGTTTTTATTGTTGCATGAGGAAATGCTGACACGGTGCTTGCTATATTCTGATTTACATTGCTATATGAAAACATTGTATATATTATATATTCACTTAATGTATCCAGCTGTTTTATCAGTATATATAGTCTGGTAGTTTTCAGTATTGTCAATATCGCAATGGATGCATAAATGAATGCTAAAGTCATTAATTCTTTTTTTTGTCACCTGAAAATTAATTGATTTATTTTGATTATTTTTGATCTGCAATAATTGACTGCATAAAATTTGTAATGCACACTTGTATAATTGAGTCATACTTTAAATGTGTATTGCACTGTAAATAAATGATCTCTCCCTTACTACCGTAAAATCTCTATTATAAGCCGCATTCCTAGTAGAAGTCACACCAATCATCATTTCTCATATGCTCTAATAGAAACCATACCCTCTTTGTTGCATTGTACCATTATAATAAAAGCCGCGGTTTCTAATACAGATTTTACAGTACACTGTAAATAGTTATAGCTGCTAGAAATGTGCACGTCTACAAAACTGCTACACTATTGTGATCCCAGAATCTTGCGAGAGGCTGCATGAATAGACAATATGCCAGGTGCCAATCTATCTTATTTGCCAATTTATAATTACATGTGTATTATAATCTTTATTTTTAAAATATGGAAATAAAATTTGCATTTATTATTGATGAAGTACTTTTGATTTCTTCACATATTTACTATATAGCTTGTATATACAACTGCTGTTTGTTTCACTTATCGTCTTTAATGCCTAAAATTGTTTAGCCTCTTCAATCGTACTGTGGTCACAACTGGTGATTGGCTGAACATCATCTGCTTGCACATGCCAAGTAGTCGCTAATTTTCTAACCAGTGTTAATAATAACAATAACTTTATTGCATCCTTAGAAATACAATGTTTCTATCAGTTAATAGCAATAAAGATTAGTTGTGATAAATACTACTACAAAAAGAAAGTTAGTTGTTAAAAAGATAAAGCAAGTGTTACATATCAAATGGCATTTTCATTTCTTGATTGAAATGCATTATGGATATAGTTGAATATAGTTGTAGTGTTTGACACTAATACATTTACTCCTGACATGCAATTGTCGCGCAGTAGAAGTACGACTGCCCCATTTTCATGAACTTGGAATAAAGTTACATAAATAAATTACTGTAATTCCAGTAAAGATAGCACAGCAAAGTTGGAAAAACATTGACAAAACAGTGTCTGGTATTCAGGCTACCATGGACCCTGGTGGTGAAACACTGTCTGTAATCCAGGCTACCATAGACCCTGGTGGCAAAATACTATCTGTAATCCAGGCTACCAGAGAATCTGGTGGTGAAACACTGTCTGTAATCCAGGCTACCATAGACCCTGGTGGCAAAACACTGTCTGTAATCCAGGCTACCATAGACCCTAGTAACAAAACACTGTCTGTAATT